GTTTATTCCAACGGTATTCATCGCCATGGATGAACATGAAGCGTCATCCTGGAGGTCTTGCCACGATGTTGGAGGACGTCACCATCGCCGCACAGAACGAGTTCCGACCCAGTGTCGGTAACATTGGTTTCGATCGCCCTCGCGACTCTGATCCTCGTGCAAAGATGCCAAAGACGGAGGATCCTGATTACTCTCGCAAGCTCGAGGCACACAATGCTTTCCTCAGGGAAAGGTATGTGTACGACGAGGTCTTCAATGTGAGAGAGGATTTTCAGATGCTCGTCCGCGTCATCAATGAGGCATACGGAGTGGACTTCTTTTCCTACATCCAGCGCCACGCCAGTGATTTGGAGGTCTGCCGGAAGTACACGGTGCGAACCCCCGAAGGCTATTGTCTTTACGACAGTACCCTCAAGCAGCCGTTCAGCGGCAGCTACCTTCTGGCGGTTCTGGAGAAAGTCTTCGCTGAATCTGAGCACCGAGATTTCAAATCAGCTTTCGCCCGTAAGGCAAAAGCGGACTTGGTGGCTTACGAGGACTTGAAGGCGAAGAAGGAGTCTGAGCTGAATGAGCTCCTCACCCGACCATATGAAGACATTATGATCGAGGAGTTCATCGAGTGACTCCCCTGTCCACGGATCGAGGAGATCGAGGAGCCGCCCGCGGCTACTCAGATGGACACCTCCGAGCCGGCATCTGGATCCACGGACTTGCCACAGGGCAAGAAGGTTGATCCGGTTAAGACCGAGCCGACCGATGTGCCAAGGGAGCCTGATGCTCCAGAAAGCTCTCCTCAGGGAGAGGCATCTGGGGCTACTGTCGAGCCAATGGAGACTGACGCTCCTGAAAGCTCTCCACAGGGAGAGGTATCTGGGGTGGATGTCCCGCAGCAGAAGACCGAAGCCACGGAAGGCTCTCCGCAGGGAGAGGTATCCTAGGTTAAGGCCGAATCTGATGAGCACATGGGTCAAGAAGGAGGTAAGGCAGAGAACAGTGAGATGGCTGAGGAAAGCTCACCACAGGGTGAGGAATCCATGCCTGACATTTCTCCCGAGAAAGATGATGAAAGTGAACTCCACGATCAAGGCATCTGGGGGAAATGCAAGACTGTTCCAGACCCTGAGTACTACAAGGCCGCGAAGGATGCAGAGGACCAGAACGAGAACGCGTTCGAAGAGATGGGCAAAGCTAAGGAAAAGATTGAGCTCGCCGATACCGAAGAGTTCAAACACTTTCTGTCGCAGCTCACCGAGATCGAACGACAAAGCCCTATGCGGCTGCTCACCAAGCAGTTGCGTGGATGTGGCTATTCAGGCTTGTATCATACAGGACTGCGTGATCCTGATTACGAGCCCGTTCTCGCTTTCAAGGTGCAGCATATGAGTTGGAGGGTAAATGTTCCGCATCACAAGGGACAGAAATACTCTCTCTCTATGGGGGACCTCTTCGACCAACTCAACAAGATGTCTCCCATCTATGAGCGTCGTCCCGACAAGAAGGACGTTGTCTTTCGTTCAGGGGACGTCCGCAGCACCTTGGATGACAAGCTCATGGGTAAGGCCTCTGACATCCGAGAATCAGCTCTGGAGGTTATGGAAGCACTTCTTGATAAGCTGAAGTCCCTCGATGCAAGCGGCAATCCGGCAACTCGAGAAGAACTCTTGAACGCTATGCTTCATTACTTCTTGAGCACCGGAGTCGATGAAGAGGAGATCGGGGACCTCTCTCTTGAGAAGATGCCGAATCCTTATATTCATCGCTTTGGTCTGGCAGAGGACTCCAAGGTCCCCATCTTCACCAGCAAGACCAAGTACGCCGCGCTCATCGTCAATCTTGGCAACATGAGCAGAGGAAGGAAGGTTGCTAGTCACATTGACTGGGACGATGCTACACCATCTCGTGGAGCCCTGATAAAATCGATTGCACAGTCGAAGACGCATTTGTTTATGCTATGCGAAGCGGCTAAGATCGATGACTCCGAGGAAGCTTTCCTCACGTCGCGCGGTTGGCAATTCCTGCGCAACGAGTCCAAGGATCTGATGGTGGGGAGTCGTACCAATGGTGTTGGATCTTCGATCACCCGTTTGGCCGGCTCCACTCTCAGTGGATTCGCCCACGAATCTCTTCCCTTGACCTATATGGTCGTAGAGATCGTGTATGGAATGACAGTACCAACTGGCATCCAAGGCAACCGAGGTGACTTCCCAGATGAGGCATTGACCAAGGTTTTGGAGCGTGCTGGCTCCGACCGCATAAGGGTCTGTTGCTTCCACCTTCGTAACGACGCGGCGGCAGACAAGGTGGCGTTGGCTCACGAAGTGTTGGGCAACATGTTCATTGACTGCTTGCACTACCAAGTCGACCTCATCGGTGGCGACGCCAACATGGCTCTTTACCGGGCCACTGGCAGAAAGCAGGAGTCAATCGACATTCGTGGCGGAATGTACCAAAGCCTTCTCGACTACTTCTTGGAGGCTTGGTCAGAAAGCCCGAAGTGCCCACACCTCTGCTCGCCTCGTGCGAGACATGTGTCAGCAAACGCCATGTGGCTTCTGAAGCAGTATGAGGACACGCTGGGGATGCCATACAAGAACATCAAGCAACCGGACTGGAATACTTTTCCTGGTCTGGATCCTGTTATGGCTACAGTCTTGGAGTGGGGACACAGCATGTCGGACGATCAATGGGCTGAATTTCCAGCTTCAAAGACCGAGTTCGACATCCATGTCTCCGAGTGGCTGTTGAATTCCACCAGCGCAGCGTACCTTCTCAACGATCGGGACTATGACGCTCACACTCCGCTCCTCATCGAGGTTCACGCGAACCAGTACTCTGGAGGCAGGATGAGGGCGCTCAACCGCAATCCCGACACCGTGAAGGAAGCCGCGGACAGGAGAAAAGAGAGACAGAAGCTGAATAAGGCACGTGGTTCTGGTTCTACTGGTCCTGCAGCCGCACCACAGGGAGCAAGCTCTTCTCAGGAAGAGGCAGCTTCTGGTGCTAGAGCTTCTGGTTCTCAACGCCCTCAAGAACCCGCACAATCTCCTGGTGGCAAAGAAGGCGGCAAGGGAGGCAAGTCCTCCAAAGGGAAAGGCAAGGACGATGACAAGGGCAAGTCCAAAGGCAAATCCAAGGACAAGTCCAAGGGCAAGAACAAGGGGAAAAACTGACTAGGTTCCGGTTCTTCGGACGTGGAAATGGACAATGGCTTCGACGAAGTTCTTTTGGAACAGAATGAAGACGTTGCTCCAGATGCACAGGTATCGCTACCTAGATCCCCTGCTGATCCCCGCGGTTACGACCCTGTTCGCCATGCTCCGGTGATGCCGAAACACACAGTCGACATCTACCGCTGGCATAATGTCGATCATTGGCGTGATAAAACCTGGGATGCAGACTTAGAGTTCGTCGACTGAACTGGCTGTGTGTTTCACGGAATGCTTCTTTCATAAGAAGGTATCCACTTTGAGCATTCGCCATTTCATAGGGAGATGCTTTTCTCAGGAAAAGGGACTTCCTAAAGAACTCTTCTTCAAAAGAAGATACTTATCTCAGGATGAGATACTTCTAATGCCCTTATTTATTTGCCGTGCCGCAAGATGTCATGCTGGCATCAGTAGAGCCAAGCTCTACAAAACTTTTATGTTGCAGTAAGCTTTCCGCCTGGAGAGGGAACTGAAACACAAGTGGCAACATCCAAGCAAAAGTTTTCAGTTGAAGATCCGTTTGCGTTTCGTGCGTGTTCTGCTCTTTTCATTGAAGCTGTCTTCAGGTGAGAGAATGTATAGTTTCTCTTCAAGTCGCAGATGTAGCTCAATACTCCGCTAATTCGACCAAGAGCAATAACAGGCTAGTTGAATGCCGACTCCACGGCCATGCAGCTCTACGTGTTTTAAATTTGTGCCTGGTTGAAACACTGAATGTTACACATCCAGTGCCTGTCTGTTTCACGTATCACTTGCATGTATCCATGCCTGTTGCTCAAGGTTCTAGTGCAGTGGACTACAGCTGTGCGCCTGTAGCAAAAGAGACACCTGAGTGCCTGTGTTCCTGTACGCCTAGCGAGGGGATACACGTCCAGGTTACATCTCAAGGGGGGGGGGGAGGGGGGAGGGGGGGAGGGGGGGAAAGGAAGCGGTGAAAATTGGGTGGGACTGCCCACAGAAGCCAAAATCCGTTGGAGGGGGCGAGAATTCACAGCCGTACCTTGGAGCTCAGTTACACGTTAGGGGGGGGGGTGGGCAAGGGTTTTTGGTGTGGGGTCACTGAGGAGGGGACTCCGAATAGGAACCTCTGACCGCTTCGGCCGGGGCCGACTCCCTGACCCTTGTTCGTTTTCTACAGACCTCGAGTCATCTATGCTCCGAATTTCGATGCAGCTCAGACACGAGTTTTTGCACGGTCCGGTTTGCTGAGTCTGGCAATCGGGTTTGGAGTTCGGGACTCTAGGATCTTGGTTTTCACTGAAACGGGCTACATAATGGGCTGTCGTTAAGCAAAGAACTGCATTCAAGGTACCTTTGCAAGGAAAGTGTATCAAGGACAAGAAAGTCCCGACTGTTAACCAGAAATTGACGGCCCGACACAAGAGCCAATACAGGGCCAGGGGCTCATGGTTTAGGGCTTATGGTTTATGTAGGGGTTGGGGTTTAGGGGTTTAGGGCAGACAGGGGGTTCGAGCGTTGAGTTGCTCATGCAGTTCTCCAGCCCAAGGCTGCGCAAGCCTGCAGATAGTGCCGGGATTTGAGATAGATCTCACTTGCGTCTTATTGCTGAAGGTGAAGAGTCATCACGCAAACCCACAGCAGCCCCCCTCCCCAAAAAGCCAGACTTTAAATTTCAGGCTTGTGGTCTCGGTGGGTTCGGAATGTTGTATGGTGGGTTGAGCGAAGTAAACACCGGACGAAAAACAACGTAACATCAAGCCCTTACCTTTGCCTGACAGCGTCGCAGCCGTCTGCCGCAAAGAGATTGATGGATCTCGCAAAGGTGGTGCTGCGATGTGGTTTTGTGGCACAGCCGCGGAGGTTTGCGATCGAGTGGGTTGCTCTCGACCACCACCGCTTTCTGACTATGACAGCCTCGAAGTAGTTGAGCCACAATCGGACCAGCACGTGAACCTGGAAAGCGATCCCGAAGCTAGTTGCTTCTGGCCCGCTCTGGTCTCAGAGCGCGGCAGTCTCGATCTGAGTTCGGCCATTCCGAAGGACAACGTGGAACTCTGGCGCTCCTTGCAGGGGATGTGGTACAGACAGGGGGACAATATCTGCGTTGGCGAGATTTGCGGGGCCAGCATCTTTGCAGCATTTCAGGTGCCGTTTGTTTCTAAACTGGTTATTTGCAAGAAATGCTGAACAATTATTTTTCAGGCCAGGTTATCCAGCACGAAAGGTATGCTGTGGCACGCTCACTGGAACGTTCCGGAGAAGTTCACCTGTCTGTGGCATGGCCCAGATTTACTTTCTTTTTGTAATGTGGCTTGCCGTAGCCCGTTCGTTGGCCCAGTTGTTCTGTAATGGGGTTGGGGGCCAAGCCCTGACTGAATGATGCCGTGGCCTGGGCTCATTCAGCCACGTGGAAGAAGCAGAAGTATGAATGCCAACCGCACCAGTTTTGACACAAACAAAGATGCTGGTGCAAGTGCAGTCATGTTGAAACTTTCGATACTCATGGTGGTAAACACAATCATGAACCAAGACTTAGCCATCAATTTCATTGGCTTGCCACACCAATCACAGCCATTACGAGGTAACCATCACAGTAGAAGCAGGGATGAAAAGCATCAGCAAGCAGGAATGCCATTGTTGTAGTCGAGTCGCAGTCGTCACAGTCGCAGTGGCAGCAGTGGTCGTTTGCTCTTCTTACGACCATCATGATTGCTGCGATCATCATACTATCTTGTTCTTCTGACCACGGCCTCTACAGCGACGACGACGACCACTTCTGTAGTACCAACTCCAATCGACATACGCAAGCTAGTAATGACAAAGGCAAAAACAAGACTCACATGTACAAATAGAATAGCAAAGAGCCACCAAGCCGAAAACTTTATAACTTAAACCTTCAATCCTAAACCCAAAGCCCTGAAACTCTAAAGCCCTAAACCGTCAACTCTGTTCAGCCGGCAAACCTTGTCGAGGCAAGTCGTGGCAGCTGACGCACTCATGGTCGACCTTGAGGGCCATGTGGTGGTGGGTCGAGTTCGCAAGGAACGTGGGCAAATATGTGTAGTATGTAGTTCTCTAAATCAAGGTCCCGTTTCAGGTCCCCAAATCGTATTTCACCGTTATACAATTGACCCTAACAGGGACCCTAATTTAGAGACCTAAGGATATGGCCTGCAGGTTCCTGCTTGTATTTAGGGTTTAGGGTTTAGGGGTTTAGGGTTGGGGTTTAGGCCGAGGTCGAAAAGTCATGCCTTACGATGCAGCCTATACGATTTGGGGCCAAAAGAAGACTTACTCGCAAGTATAGAATGCTTTACAGCGCCATCAAAACCCGTAGTTCTGGATTTAGGCTTTTACTTTTCCGGGTTTGGGATGCTCAAAACATTCCCTGGAGGATGCCCAGACAATCATTCATTGGAGCGATGGCGACGTTTGGCTGCGGAAGTGAAGCTCTCGCAGCCCGAGAAGTTTAGAGTACTTGGAGGATCAGGGTTTTGGTGCTAAATGTACGGTACTTTGGGTTTAGGGTTTGGGGTTTAGTTAGGGTTTAGGGTTTAGGGTTTGGGGTTTAGTTAGGGTTTAGGGTTTAGGGTTTGGGGTTTAGTAGGGTTCAGGGTTTTGGTGTTAGTATACTTTGGGGGCTTAAATAATTGCCAGTAGTATTTTGGGGGTTCCTTCCAAAAAGCCGTAGTACTTGTAATATGCCCCCAAACCCTATTCTCGTTAATTCTCAAGGCTCCTACATTTTTGCCCTCCTAAAGCCCTGCTTACAGCCGATCGGCTTGCGAAGTCACCCGATCCTCGAAGTAGAGTTTCCTAGCTACCTCAAGGATATTGCCTTGGGGCTTCTTATTGCTACTGTCCGGCCGTTTAAGATGGCCGGTCGGAGGCACCGTAGTCCTTGACTACAGCCGTCGATCTCGGAGAGGGAAAGGAGGGTGCGCAGGTTTCGATACCCCGAAGACGCGTACCGAAGGTGGATGGATTCAGGCTTGGTGTTTTGGGATCAGGGGTCAGGGTAGGGGTTGGGGTATTAGGCTTGAGGGTTCGGGAAACCCTAAACCGTAAGGCATCAGGATTAAGCCTAGGGTTCGGTATTCAGGGTTTAGGGATTCTCAACCTTCGATGGAGGCTTGCTGTTTAGGGTCGTAGGATCTAGTTTGCCTTGAAACCGATTCCCTGGATCAGTCCGGGCCTAATTGAGGGTTCAGGGGTTTCGGGTTCATTTGGGTTTCGGGTTTGGCGTTTTTGGTTTGCGGAAATCCAAAAGAAGCTCCTAAACCATAACCCCTAAAATCAAAGCCTAAACCATGAACCCTAACTCCTAAACTTAAAACGATTGAACCCGAAACCTGAATCTCGTGCACTACCTTCTTGGCCTTCAAAGGCCGTAGGATTGAAACTTGAACCCCCAAGGGCTTCAGGGCTTAGGGAAAGAGGCCTGGGCAGCTAGGTGCTACAATAGTAGAGTTGCAAGGAATGTTTTTGCAACTGCTTGGGATCCTCTAGGCGGTCCCAAACCCTGAACCCCGTAACCCTTAATCCTATACCCTGAACCGCAAACATAAGCCGTAAACTCTAAACCAAAAAGTTTTTATTTCGCCAGTTCGGCTGCTTCTCGGGTCAAACAGGCGGATTGTAGATTGAGATTTCGGATTTAAGGTCTTTATGGGTGTTCCTTAAACCCTGGACGCAGAATCCCAGCAGAACCCGATGTAAGGGGTGCTTCGCTGCGGAACTACAGTTGCCCTGATGAGCGCTTCGTTGGGTGCTGCCGGCAGAGCTGAACTTACCTTGGGATAGTAGGGAATGGAGGAATGGGGCACAATTTATAACTACTATTACTACCATTTTTCCATTCCCTACTAACCAAAGGTAAGTCAACGGATTGGCGGTTCAGCTCCGAGGGTTTTCTGAAGGATGTCGTGGGGGTGTAGGTTTCGGGCTTCGGATTTCAGGGTCTTGGTTTAGGGTTTATGACAAAGAACCCTCCCAAAATAGTATAGGGTTTAGGGGTTTAGGGGTTTAGGGGTGCAGGGTTTAGGGTTTAGGGGGTGTTTGGTTTGTGTGCAGAAGTCACCCGAACCCCGTTTCCTCCACCCGGAAGAAGGCTAAGAAAGCAGGATGCATCGCAGTGCAGACTCCTGCATCAAATAACCCTAAACCTCAATTCCACAACCCTTGAAACCCTAACTCCGAGGCCCTAAAATATGAGCCGATCCTTGCCATAGTTCGTTTCAAGGGTCTGCCAAGGAGTCTGTTTGGTAGAGGGCCAGGCTCGGAGAGCCCAGCGCACTGCAATTTGCGGAGTCCTGGGCTTAGGGTGTCTTCCATATTCCAAGAACCATACTACATGGCCTTACATTATATCATATCGTACCACAAAGGATTTATTCCATGAGCCATACTACATAGCCTTATAAGGTTCTATATTTTTGGGCTCTTTGGGTGAAAGCTTTGCTATCCAGAGCTAAGATGCTGAGGGCACATGTCCAGCGTAGGGACCAGCCCGGACGCCTGGCAGTCATTCTTTGAACTATTAAGACTGATTGAGGCTTCACACCGGGTGATTCAGCTTTCTGGTTTGGGTAGGACTATAGGAGTTGGAGTATAGAAACCTGCATTGAGGAAATAGACCTCAACAAGACTTGGATCCCCCAGCAGGTGAACAGCCTCCAACACAAGTGAGCTGCTTGCCTCAGCTGGGCGACAAGTCCTGAAGCTGGACTTTCTTGATTGGCCAATGGAACCACCCTCCTCTTTCACACCCAGTACTTCAGAATGTCAAATCACTGGAGCCACATCAGCCACAGACTTGCCTCACATAATGAGGCTGTTCGGTTGGCGTGAGCACCTCACCCTGGAGAGTAGAAGGAGCCGGCTTGTAGCAAAACTCCAGGCCAAAGGCAGAAAGCTTCAAATGCCCCAGTACCATGGGGTCATGGCCACAACCAGGCGGAATGTTTGGTCCACGGACTTGGTGGAAGCTTTGGAGGAAAGCTCAGAATTCATGGTGGGCTTTGTGGGTCTCAATCAAAAAGTCGGCTGTATGACAGTGCCAATTTGAGCAGGCTTGCAACCCGCTCCTGAAACTTGGAAGCTTAAATCCGAAGCTAGAGTTTGGTGGACAAGACTACATCTTGCTTCCTGGCATTCTGGACCTAGGCTATGACATCCCAGGGTGTTTTAGCCCTTACGCACATCGCCCAAACCTTTCACTCCCTGAAAAACTCTGAAGCCCTTGATCACCTAGACTATGCCAGGGCCCGACGTGGAGACTGCGCACGGGACCCCAGCTCGCCAGCTCGGGCGAGGTAGGCTATACCGAATTCTTCAACTCTCCCTTGGTGCCGCGCGACTTATGAACCCCATAAACACCCCACGCCATAAAGCCGTGCTCGGCAAGACAAGACTCAGTACACATGTCCATGTCGAGGGCTCGTGGGTCTAGGTTTGCATTTTTTTGGGGTTGTCCTCCAACCGCTGCCGTATGCGAGTTGTAAGCCCCGAGCCCACCCAACCCTGAGGCTTGCACACCCTAAAGCTTACACCCTAAACCCCGAACCCCCGGCGCCTGCAAGGTTTCCTTCCGAGCTGACCTTGGCAGCTTGTTCAGCTCGAGCCTTTCCCAGACAAAGGCTCCTCGGAGCGGGGCCGGGTCTCGGGTTTAGGGTTTGGTTTCCGGGTTAAACTTCGTATCTTCCGAAGGACCCCCGCCAGTTTGGTGCTTCCCTTATTCTAGGATGAGACAACCCACTAACAACCCTCAAGGCGTTTTAAGGCTCTATCCTATGGGCAGCCCAATCCCGGCCATCATGCCATGGCACCCAGAAAGACCTATCTCTAAACCGCAAAGCAGGCCTTCATCCTCACCCAAAGCCCTCAACCCTGAACCAAGTCCCGGCTACCGGAGCCTCCGCCCCGCAAATCCCAAACCGCCGAAGAGCTGTGGCCAGGCCAATGGAGAGCACATCCTCGCCGTAGACGATGTTGTGGCTGCCCTGGCAAGTCCTTAGTGCAACGATTAGGGTCCAGGGTTTGCGGTCAGGGTTAGGGGACACCCGAAACTTGAAGACCCGAACCTCGAAGACCTTCCACCCACTTCAAGCCCCAGCCCATAAATCTAAACCCTACCTAAACCTGCTGTTTTGAAGTGTCCCTATGCATTCCAACTAAGATGTATAGTAAGAGCCCACAGAAAAGCAGGTTTCGGTAGGTTAAGGTAAATCCTATAAGCCCTGCGCCCTGAAAACCCTAAAAAACCTAAACCATCCTACAAACACTATAAACCCTAAGCCCGACACCCTTAAACCTGAAGCCCTAAAAGCCCTAAACATTCAATAAATCCT